TGTAAACCTTGTGTTCGAACCAGTTTGCATCTACTTAGAATATTTAAGAAAAATCTTATGAAATTCAGTAAATTAAAAATGCAACAACAGCTTGATTAAACCTGGCTGCAACCTTATTACCAGTGACAGTTAAGATTTTACAGTTGATATTAAAAATCTGAAGGAAGTCTAAAAGATTTACTTATTCCTTAATATCTTAATAATTATTCATTGCCTAAATAACAAGATAAACTAACTTGTAAATGGAATCTTGGAAATGGCACTAAGAACTGTTTAATTTAAGTTAATGTTGAATTGAAAATTCTCTTTTATGATCAATTCCTGACTCTATACTATGTTGCTGTAACAGTTTCTATTTTCACTGAAGTGTTACGTACGCATACTGGGCTTATACCCATATAATAACTAACTAAATAAATAAATAAATGATCTACAACGAACGATGTTCATACGAAATCCCGTCGACAACGTGCTAAACTATTTTGAAAAACGACAAAAAAGAAACATTGGTGAAACGATACGATTATAGTGACAAAATTTATAAAACCAAAAGTCAGCAGAACAATACCAAAAATGTCTTCCTTACGTAAATCCGGGTCTATAAAAAGTTCCCGAAGTCTTTACACGCGTCCTTGATACTCGCAGCAAACACTCGTCGATTAACCGGAAACTAGCGGGGACACCGTTGAACGACCGCAACAGTCTCGGAATATGAGGGAAGTTCGATGCAGTTTCTCCGTGAGAATAGGGTTTGGGCTCCTGGCAATGCACCCTCTCTCCTTGCGATTAGCCTCGCCATTGGCAAAGTCAGCGCTGCTTGGAGCGGAATGAGGGTCACAAATGCATAATCGATGCACCCTCCGCGCTCTGCGACCCGTCCCATGCTTGAGTTGACCTTGTCAACTCGACTAGAAAAACGATCTCGCCGCCGACCGAGAAATGGAACGATGCCCGTGTCTCCTAAACCACTGTTATCGAGATGCTGCAAGAAGATATGATTTCGGTCATTTCGATGATCGACAGGCTTGATGTACGATCGCTCACACACAGACACTCGGCGCAGAAAAAGAACGACGGGGAATCGTAGAAAATTCGAATCGATCGCGATTTCAACTATGATCTCCAAAAGATTCTTACTTGGCAATTACCAAAGCCTCATCTGCGTATTTTAAGTTGTAATTTAAGAACTTCACGGAGAGGAAGCATAACAGAAAAGGAGAATTTAACTATGATTTCGTGATTATTTTTGAATGACGGTTATCTCGAGGAAGAAAAGGCTTCATGGGAAACTGATCTTAGAATCAAGATCCCTTGAACTGATACAGAGATACATCACGATTTCGAATATTCAACTATGTCAATAAAAATTTCTTAACAAAACAATTAGTACTTAATCAGGCGGCAGTTAAAAATGACTACATAGTGCACATTAGTCGGATTTGGCAACTGTAATAAGCATTAGCCTTGCAAAGAAAACATATAATGAGTATGGCAGTGCCATCGCACGACAAACATGAAGTACTAATTGCCAACAGTAGAGAATTTCTACAGATAAGGTCAAATTTCAGAAACAATAAGTTACCGCCATCTGATAATGTTTACAAGAAACTAGATCAGATGATCTTCACACGAAGAGATATCTTCAGATGTTGACTTAAGTTTAAATTAGCAAACCGTAACTACATAGATAATACGTTGATTCGTGAAACGGACACTCAAAAGAATATGTTCACATGTAGTAAGTATAAAAGGGTATAATAACACGTTTTTATAGATATTTTATTTTGATAAATTAGAAATTTAATCCCACGACGATTCCTGAATCTAAACAAAGTACCACTGCTAATGCTGGTACTTATCATTCGCAACATTAATTATTTAATGTTAACAAATTTTCTGAAGGATGTTAAAAAACGCGACAGGTGCTTCCCGTGCACGACACTAATTTACTAAATACCTAATGAAAAAACTCTCACGCACACGGGATAATTATCCTCAAAATCCTGACTAAAAAAATTATTAGTTGCTGTTCTTTTAACTGGTCAATATTCTTTGATTCTATCTCATTTAATTTGCAATAAAAATGACTCAACTTTGTATTAAGAAAAATTGAAAAACAAATATTGGGTACTTATTGATTTAATAGAATGCAGTCATTAAGAAAAATTATAAAATCTGAAATTAGATCGAGCTATTCAATGATATTCTCATTGGATACCATTTCTTATTATCATTGTGTGATTATATTGGCTTGTGCAAGGAGGAAATCAGAGGTTGTCATATTCCTCCACTAATGTTTCATTCATCATATATGTATTCAATATATTTCCTATAGAGGTTCATACACACAATGGGCTGAAGAATAGGCATTGAATATTAAGAGCATTAATACTGCATTGTCCAATTATAAAATGTTTATTAATTGTATGAATAGTAGAAAATGCTATGTATAAGAAGATCCTACCCTAGCTAAGAAATACAATTGATCAATGTTACTATTCAAAGGTATGATAGCATACCCACATTCACTGTATTCGCCAAATTAGGCATATATACAACTAGTTGCCTGTGCCACTTTGGACTAATTGTCCTGTGGCATGATTGGGGACTGGAGTAATAAAAAAAGCATGCAAAGACTCACCCGATGATAGAAGGGTTTACAGTCTTTGCTGGTGGAACTTCACATTAGGACATCCGATTTAGTGTTCAATGATGCAACATTTGAAGAAACTGGAAAAAAAAACGAGACAAATTTATTACACTCAATATTATTATTACTAATAAATATAACACGACAATTATCAGTTTATAATATTTATGAATTACATTGTAGCATAATACATAACTATGCTGCAATCATGTATGTTTCTTTATTTAATCCATGCCCCATTTTTCTACGTATTCAGAAAATCATTACAAGTACCAAAGTTGCATTATTTATGCATACTTTGATAAAAAACATGATAAACTATGCAGCTGGTATTAATTAAATCTACACCCAAAACTGTATATAAATGCAAATACAATAATGTCATATGGTAAGACAGGAGAAATTATCTATAATCTATTTTAATACAATTTCACGACCGAGATCCGTAAATCACAAACATTTCCAATTTGAATGTATCGAAGTATTGTAGTTTAAATTTTGTAACATTCTAGGAAGCCATTTTGAATGCTTCAACTAAATATATGAATTGGAAAAATTGCTCGAAAAAATTCTCATTTGATCTTAGCACAAACCACGAAATCACGATTATTTCACTTACGGTTAAAAACAATATAAAAATATATAATGAAGTGTCACTTTGTTGTTATAATAAATGCTATAATAAATATAATAATAAATTACCAGAGTTCCCCAATTTCCCGCCAAATTCCGTTTGAACGCAGTCAGCAATGCTCAGGACGGTAGTGCGTACTTTCAAACCTGACCTCTGAAACAGAAAATAAACATAATCTTTAAGTAATTACACTACGTTAAGAATAGTTATGTTACAAATGAACAATTATTGAACTCGTGGTGTGTCGCAAAGATTACAAATTGGATCAGAAATACGTAAATATTATATTAATTGGTACACAGTGAAACCGAAGATTAAACCAATATCTACGGTATCGTATGAATTTGAGATTATTTAGTCTAAATTGTATAAATATTAAAGGACAGTAACGGTAGAGAGCTAATGAAGGCACTAGCAATTAATATATATGAATAAAGATGATTGTCAAACACTTACTTTGGCACGAGCAAGCGGCTTGTACATCTTACTGCGTCAACTTCTTCGAAACGAATGACACTTCGGTTACTTTCGGCTCGTCCCGAGCGGGTCATTTGGCTATCTTCGGGAGATCACGAGTAGCTGATTGGTCAGGGCGGTATATCCTCCGAGTAATACGATTTGGCGGGAACACATATGCACCACTCCAGTTTAAACGACGAATGTCACATTTAAAAAACATAATGCCAAAAATATATATGTATTTCGTCACTTATCTAAAAAATAACTTATTAAATGTCCGTTAACATGTTTATACAGAACACTAAATTTATTCAGACTCTTCATGGGAAGCATGATCTGGGAAACTACCTAATATTTCTCGTTCTTGTAGACGAAGCCAATGTCAAGGTTAATAACAATAGAAGGCCGATTGAAAAATTGAATACTTTCTAAAACATTTGTTCGAAACTTATGCACAAAACGTAATGGAACTCATTTAAATAAAATAACAAATATTTAATATTTCTCGTAAATACTAAGACGGGATTATTGTTTAATCATTTGTGATAAAACACAAATTATTCACTTGTAAAACTTCGATAGCTGAATCGCACAACTGAACGGTCGAATGGTGGGGAAAGCGCTCGGGTGATTGGCGCACACTTGTTATATAATTCCTCAAACTCTGACCCTCTAAGCCTCGAAATATGCAATAAACGAATGACTATTGTATGTTATAGCATGGTTATAGCCATTATAGCACAGACGAGACTTATGCCTTGTCTGTGTTATGATCATAAATGGAAGCATTATAAGTATGCTTTGTTCATACTACGTGTATCGAGATACATGCAATATGCATACTTTAACCGTGGGACAGAAAATAACATTGAATGATAAGTCTATTCTATGTTCTATACCTAGTCTGTGATCTATTTAGTATCAATTTATTGTCACTAAATGTCGCCGCATGTTGTTAGGTACTCATTTCATTAAAAAAGTTTTATATTAATTAAAAACATACCAACAATTATTAATATACATATATGTATATACATACAATATCGATTCAGAGAAATGAAATAAAGTATCAACGTTGACTTGTCGCATCAGTTTGAATAGAGTATGTTTCTGGAGTAGTTCCACTTTTCCATATTAATTAATACGTTGCTCTCTATTTAGTAAAGATACGTTTAAGTGTAACAAATTGTATTAACAGTGTTGACTTTATAAAACAACAAACATTGTGTGTTAAATACATAAATAGTAAGTGTAAAAAGCTGGAGTCATCCTTTAATAACCTCCACTTCTGTTTTTTAATTCGAGTGGTGACGATAAGGATAAGGAGGTAAAATGACGAAAATTATTGAATTACGTCCTGATAAAAACCTAATAAACTCCAAGTTCGAGAAGTATCAATTTTCTACCGATGAAGTTCCAGTTGCTTCCGAAATAAATTTAACCGCAGGTAACTACCATCCAATTCGTTTCGTGCCTAACGGGTTATCGAAAGACCGCAAAACAACAACTTTTATTATGACCAAACGATTTTTACTGTAAACACAATACATTGTTATATCGATTAATGCTACTTAATCAATAAAAATGTCGTCCTGTTATATAGTGCAACTTGTACGTCATAGTTTTTTGTCAATAAAATTGACATTTTCATTGTTACAAACATTATGTGGACCGTTACTGATTTGTACTAAGAGAATGGAGAGTCATGAGAAAAATCCTGGGCATGGAACGTTTTTGATAAGACAACATATTATTGTTACAGAAGTTAGTAACACTATATATATATATATATATATATTTTGATAATTTTACAGATGTACATAGATTAGAGTTAACTTCGAATCGAGACTCTCTGTTGGAAACTCGATTGTTTGCATTTCATAATCATTTGTTTAAGAATCCATATGACACATCATGTTGGTTTATAGACAAAAACTGGATGGTGTGGAGATTTAATAAAGATGGTGCATTAGAAGAGATACACCACATACATGATATTAATGCAAATGTTCAAAATGTATTATACAATCCATCAATTGCTTTCACTAATAATAACGTTGTTGTAATTTCGGATGGTGGCAATTGTTTAAAAGTATTATTAGCATTAACACAGGAACATGCTAAAGTATTTTCATTAAGTAATGCAGAACCTGGAATTATTTTGGATGTGAGATATGTGAATGCAACATCCACCATTACAGTTGCATTGTGTAGTATTAAAAGTACAGGTGAAAAGAAGTTTACTAGTCTCTTGTTGTTAACGTATACATGGAAAAATGTTGGAGAATCATGCGAATCTTTCGAGTTTACTTACAAAGAAACTTTAAAAGTAAATGGCGCTGTTGAATATGCATACATAGAAGATGATGGCAAGTATGTTCACTCCATTTGTCAGGATTACATTACCTTTGAGCATCCAAAAGTGCAAGAAGTTGAGGACAATAAAAAAGATTCAGAGAAATCATCAGAAATAAAAATTCCAAGGTATTGTTGGTCTCAAGATGAAGATTTATTAACAGTTTGGATTAAAGTGGATCGGGAACAACAGAAAAATGTCAAAGTAAATGTAACTCCATTAGAGCTATCAGTAACACTAAATGGTATTGTACTGATACAAGGCCAATGTCAACATAGATTAGATGAAAGCTTAACAACATGGAGGTATGAAGAGGACACATTTAAAATTGAATTATTTAAGTATGAGAGTGGTTTAATGTGGAATGAGTTAATTAAGGGTGACTCTGGAGGTGAACATTTACCAAATGAAGAATTGGCTACTGAAATCCATTCCAGGTACAATATGTAGAGATACAGTAAGGAGCACTAATGAAAAAATGAAAGGCATCTTTATTGTTATTCTAGGTGGAAACGATATAACATAAATATAAAGTTGAACTCTGTAATGTGAATTTCATTGATGTCATTGAATACAAGATTGTATACAGCATTCCATTGGACAGTTCAATGCGTTCTCAGGAATCTGTTTCATGACAGGGCAATAGTTTCCACCAAGTATAATAATACAACAAGGCAGTAAATGTAGTGGAATCATAAAGAAAGGTTTCGAACACTAAACTTTGAAAAGAAGCTTTCATTTATGGACCCACTGAATTTACTACGTCATTATATCTATTCTTTAATCATATTTTGTTTCTTTTTTTAACTTCCTTGTTTATGTTTAGATTAGCACACTTATGCACGGACCAAACAGATAGTAAACTAGAAGGTCAGCCTTGTATAGGGTTTAATTCTGAACAACTTGAAGAATGTGATCTTGAGGGTAAAGATAATCTGTTACAAAGAATCAATCTTGTTACACAAGAAAATACACACTTAGCTATGCTAGGAACAAATAATCATGTCTTATTTACATATAAAACTAAGTCTGGTCAAGCTATATGTCTCAGACATGATAATGATGGTTGCTTGTGGATTACTGGTAAAGCAGATGACACTAAATGGAATATAGAAAATCGTTATATTTTCCCCGGTTTTGGATACGTCGAAGCCAGTAAAAGCAATAAAAAGTTCTGTGTTTCTCCATATGGTAAGTACTCAATTGATTGATACATAGTTATATTTTTCTTTAATTACAGAATTTTAAATTACGGCATTTCTAGATGGTTCGTATGTAGCAATATTGGAACACGCAAGATACATATTTCTATACAAAAGGCCTGAACTGAATTCTCAGATTGAAAAGCAATGGATTGTGGATTTGGGACCTGAAACGTTCCCTATCATGGGAGCTGTAGCTACAAACAAATATTTAACTGTACTTACTAAAAATAAATTATATCGTTTGCATACCTGTTTCTAAAACTGATTGTATTGATTTCTAGCCCTAAAACTGCCTGTAATATGATCAATGTTTTTATTACAACTATATCAATCGTTACGTACATTACTATGTATATGTATATTTACGGGGACTTGTATGTATATTACTATATATCATTTAATAGGTTAAGTCAGGATTAGAAGATTGGGGGCACTTTTTACTGGAACAGCGTATAAGATCTTCAACGGAAATCAAATCATCCCTAGGCCAATACCAAATAACCATATCACTAAATGTTTCAATAAAGCTTGCATTAGCTTTATCTGGCTTCTGTGACTCGAATAGACTAGCGCGTGTGTCATTATTATAATAGTACAGTCTGGAATGTGTTCTACTGAAGTTTCGAGTCCAAGGAGAAGCGATGCTTTTTAAGAACAGTACACTGTTTGGTATAAAGTACGATTTATCATTAATACTGTCTAAATAGGTTTTTGTGAATTCGTACACTAAAGCTGGCTGATTATTTTTCATTAAACGTTCCTTTACACATAGTTTTTCGAGGGGTTTTGGAAGTAAAGGAAACAAATCTTTCGTGCGTATACGATCGTAATTGCTCCCATCTGGCTTCCACAGAGCTTCACAAAATTTCTTTGCAAGTTCATGCCTAAGAAAAATTTTACAAATCAGTTTTAAACTTTATAGAAAACAATATTGTTTAGTATTGTCATTGTAGATCAATTCATTACCTATCTTTCAAACTTTTTCTACTGATGTCTTCAGTACCCAGAAAGAAAGCATCAATAATATGTAATGCCTGTAATTTGCGCTGGTATTTATTCTCCCTTGTCATCTCATAGACTGTCTCACCATATAAAAGTGTATCTGGTGGCAATTCTATTTTGATATCATCAACCTTTGCCCAACTACCTTTCACATAACGATATATTTTGCTCCTTCCCATACCCAAGTAAAAGGTAGCTGTTTTTTTCTCGTCTCTATCGGGCCCAGTACCACAAGGTACACAATACCAATTCAGTGGTTGGTTCAGTATTTTACCTTCTACATTGTCTTTTGTCAATTTTACTGGACTCTTAGAAAGGAATCCAGTATATTCCGCAAAAAGACTCATCAATTTTTCCTGGGGTTTCATCTGTTTAGGTATTGTTCTTCTTAAATCTGGAAGTCCCCAATATTTAAGGCATTCCTTACGTATATCGGCTTGCCTTGATTCAACAAGATTAGTGTCCTCGCAAAACGCAGCAATTTTCCGGAGGCCTGTTATCTGTTTCCTTCCTAAATAATTGTTCGATTGTCGCAAATACTGTACAAACGATTGTTCTCTTTCTAATGCTTCGAACGATACTAATTGTAGAACGTCATTATTATCTTCATTTTTTGAGAGTATGTGATTAATATGTTCGAGGTGTTGCGCAATATGTTCTGTGCCTGGCCTTTTGGTTTTACATATTAAATATCGTTCCGAATTTGCTGGCCTGGAGGAGTTTGGTTTAAAAATGCTAACTTCGTCGAAGCAACGATACATTAAGTAAACTAATCCTGCACTAAAGGGTGTAAAAAGGTCAAATAGTTTTGTGACAAAATGGCCCTTCTCTCGTACAATCATCAGTGCCACTAAGCATTGGCAGAGGTACAACCGTTTCAACAAAATCTCCTGCAAATTATCTTGACCATTCACTGAGAAACCTCCATCAGCCATCATAAAGTGTACGCCCTTACGGTTGGTATGTGTCATTATGAGGTCCCTGAAAGCTTTTTGGTTATCAGAATCAAAAACATCACCATTGTCCTTTGGTCCATAATATGGATGAAATGTTTCACAGGGACCTACGTAAAAATCGTCTAACTTAAAATCATTTTCGTTTTTCAAAGTAAAACCAAACCCCTTGGCGCGCCACTTTTTCCTCCATAGGACGTATTCGCTAAAACCACCTGGTCCAGCGCATACATCAGCAAAATACAGCAACTCGTTATTCTGTAAACCGTTTGGTTTGGTAAACATAAAGTTACATGCTCTATCGATGTTTGCCATTTTAACAGCTGCTCGATTTAAGAAAAATGCACCATAAATAGTTTCATACGGATTACAACGTCTTCTTGCATTGCGCATTTCAATACTGTCCAAATTATCAAATACAGACTTAGAATTAACAACATTTGTAACTATATCTTCATCGCAGAAATGAGTTTCATCATCTATAATAAGTTTTTTGGGACCCTTCTGTAACCAGTCTGTCAGTTCGTCAAAAGTTGGTAAGTCATGATGGAGATTTTTTAGCCACTCCATAGGTTCTACAACCTTTACCTCTTCTTCTATAGAGTCCCATTTGCGACTGGAATCCTCAAGCCCAGGTATGTGATGTCCAAGACCTCTACGACCAAGTTGTTTGGCTGCTTCTACAGGTTCTAATCTACCTTGTTTGTGTTTACCAAGACCATGACCTTCTTTGTATCCCATCTTTTGCATCATCTGTTGGGCTTTGTCTTGTCCATTCCAGGACTCCTTTTTATTCTCATAAATTTTAATTTCACCAGTAGAGCCTTCATTACTTTTGTCTGCTCTATGAAATTTTTGTCGTTTAATGCACTGATAAGAACTGTTGTACCTTATTCCATTTGTTTCTGATTCTTCTTGTTCGTTATTAGAATTAGATGCTGTGTCATCTATGCGCCTGCCATGCATATTCTGGCTGCTACATTCATCACCTGAGTCTGGTTCCCGAGATAAATCTTGATACATATTATGCGAACTGGACTGGAGATCATTTTTTTCATTAAAGTCATCCTCATCACAGTCACTATCATTTAAGTCAGAACTCTCATCTATAGATGTGTCATAACTCTTCCTCTTAATTTGTTTACCAGAGTAACTTGAGTATGTTTTTCTTTCTTCAACTACTTTATCATCGAAAACATCAAAATTATCATCTTCATTGTCCAAAACTTCAGAGTCACTATTATCTGATTCTGAAACATTAATTTATTGCAGGATATTAAATACAATATCTTACAACTAATTATAATATTATAAGTGAAACAGACATTTATTATATATAGACTAGAAACATTTATGCAAATAGATACTTTATATAAAAATATTCAGATAGAACATAGGCCAACAGTTTTTAGTTAGGGAGCACTACAGCTAAAAGATTAAGTAATTAAACCAAGAAACGTTGATTAAGTATTAAATAAACTAGGAAATAAGACCACTTACGATTTTTCATGATTACCGTAGTTGTGTACAACTTTTTATTTAACAAATTTCTGTCCTCTTCGTCAAATATTGTTCTAGTACATATAAATAACTGAACAATGTCCAATCAATCTCGCATATTCACGGCTACCGACACGATAAACATTGGAAAATTACATACTCATTATAGGTTATGTTTACTTTTGTAGAATAAACATGATGTGTAACATTTGACAGCAATAATTATAGTTATTTAGTCATTGGAATGTCAGTGACTTTCCAGTTAACGGCACAATTTATAAATTGCAAGACACTTCCGATATCAACCTTGTCATTAAATCTGCTGACAAGTTTGTTACTATCTTATAAGAGATTCGGTTTCCGAACTCGGTGTATTCGAAGGCAATGTTACACGATGGTGGCATGCTACCTATGAGCCGCTTAAATTATCATAATCTGATGATCGGTGATGCTGCCCGTGAAACTCTGTAAGCGCCTCGAAACATCACATTTTGCATTTCTCTAATTTCGTAGGTCGCCGTCTTATCATAAGATGACGCCATAATTCATGTTTTGAAAGAAAGAATATTTCGATCGGCACTTTCAGAAAGTGAGAATTTTTTGATCGACGTTTGGTCGTTATTAACCTTGACATTGGCTTCGTCTACAAGACTGTACGAGAACAAGAAATATGTTACAGTTTCCCAGATCATGATATCCATTAAGTAAAGTCTAAATAAAGTTAGTATTTTCTATAAACATGTTAACAATCACTTCATAAGTTATTTTCGAGATAGGTGACAAACTACATATATTTTTGGTGTTATGTTTCTTAAGTGTAACATTTACCCTTTAAACTGGTGCAGTGCATATGTGTTCCCGCCAAATAATATGGAGTACATAGTTACATACACGTAATATGAACGAAGTATGTAATGCTCTATTCGTGCTAATAATATCCTGAATTTTGGTTTTATCAGTATTGTCGGGTATTGACACTAAAATGATAAAGGGGTCCGAGAGCCCCTAGAGCCCCCAAGCATGTGACACAAAATTGCATTGGACGTTAGGTCTATTCGATATCTCGTCTGTGCTTACGTGTACCGTTGACATTATTCAATAAATAAGTTGTAAAAAATATTAACACTGTAAAATGAAATCGACCTGAATTTATTTTAACCTTATAAAGTATACAACATTGTAACAATGTATTTTTTGGTATACTTTTTCATTAGTTTATTAACCAGTACATCATCGTTAGTCAATGGGGTTAGTAAAGTTTTAGGTATATAATATTACTTAAAATAATTACCTACGTTTCAATGACAAGATTCATAAAATTTTAGAGCGAACTGGAGTACGATGGGTGGCTGCATCTAAGATTGTGGCACGCGTTTAACGACGAGCCAGACCCGATTTACATTGAAAGAGGAAACATTACAGTGTCTAGTGTACGCAGCGGTGCTTCCGTTGTTGGACAAAATGGGTTGTTACCGGCCCATATAAATGAGCTAATAAATCTTGCCAAACACGATGGCAAGTATAGGCTTAAGGCTGTGGCCCGTACCGTTTCAGGAAATGAAATAACATTCCTAACTTCTGTACCTGCGGTAATTAGACTTTTGTTGTTCGACTGAGTAGGAGGATTGAGAAGTTTTACCTCCATTCAAATAAAACCTGAATAAATGGGAGAAAGAAGAACAAAACTTATCAGTTTATCCTGATATTAATTCATTACTTATATTTTTCTATTTGTATACAGTGTTATCTTCTTGGTTCAGACCTTGAAAATAATATAATAATATGGCTGGATAGTATAGGAGAACCAATTGCTGTGAGTCACACATCATCTGGTCCCTGCAGTGTCCTAAGTCCATTTACGAATATGTGGATTACCAATGTAGTTCTTAAATATCCTGATGGTGGACCAGTTCCTGACACTGCCACATATATTCAGAAACTTGAAAGAGAGAGAGAAGCAAGGGAAAGGGGGGAAGCCAAAGACAATAGACCTTATTTCTTAAAATATGTAAGTCTCTTTCCCAATAAGGTCTATAATACTTATTTGCATGTATATTACAAAGTGTTCCTTTTATTTTTCAGTGGATGTACATTGTTCTTGCATTCATTTTTGTTGTTATATCTTCTGCAATCAATCCAGAAGCTGCAGGAGCATCAGGTGGTAGTGTCCAAAGACAGTGATGGTGAAACTGTAATGGTACCCACGTGTGCATTGTGTCTTCAGGTGTGCTCGTATGAAGCAAAATTTATGTATAAAGTTTACAATGTACTTTCCTAATTGCAGTTTTAACAATTGTAACTGTATCCTCCTCTAAATAAATTCTGTAACATTAATTGTACTTATGCTTTTTTAATTTACAAAAAATCACTTTAATTGCATTCCTCTATACACAGGGTAGGGACAAATTCCAATTTGGAAATGAAGTAAGAACGTATAAATACGTGCTCACAATAAATAGAAATGGTAAATAATAAATAGACACAGTAGCTATTTAACAAAATCTGCAAATTCTCAAAATCGTTTTACTCAAAAACGAAGTCGCATTGCTAAAAATTTTGTTTTAGACTTTCCATATATTTTGTCATAAAAAATCATCCACCCAATTGAATCGCATAGTTTGTCTTTTTCTTTTTTTGACCGAAAAACTTCCTTATAATTTAATATAAATAAAACATATTTATATTTATATATGACTGAAAACTAGTCATTCACTGTTATTCGATCTCATCATCGAAAAATCATAACTGACGACTGACTGTACGAAACGTACAGATAGCAAAAGTAGCCCAAGAAATCCTTTAAAAGGATCTTATTTGTTCGAATCTTTTCTATGGTATTGTTCATTTGCGTACACTGTAACTATATAAAATTCGCAGTCTAGACGTAACTATTGTAACTGCGTGTCAATGTATACTGTTTGATGTAGCAGGTAAGGCTCACAGGTGTTACAGGGAAGGGGATCAATAATCTACCTCACAATGAGTAAGGCCACAGGGTTTGTTAGTACTCTGCACCAGAATATACCTGCCAGGCTGGCTCGGAATGGCGGCGTTTTCTTTAAACATTCAGAAGCATGTGGAACCTGGTTTGGTCACTTGCGGCAAATTCGACGGTTCCCACGCTTGTTTAGCGATGGCGACGTTCGGTGGTAACATTTTGGTGCACAGTCCTCACAGGCAGCCGCAGATAAAAGGCCACGATCACGAGCAGTCAGACAGGAAATTGGCTTGGAGTGGAGAACTCGCGGAGCTTCAAATTGGGACCGAGGTAAAATATTACCTTGAAGTATTGACAATTTGTCGCGTAACCTATTGTCGACGTTACGTATATTGAATTTTTAATGGATCAGTGGAATAAATACATTTAATACGTGTCAGTCAATATTCGTGTGTACCATTAGATCACGGCGTTGTGCACTGGCCGATTTAACGATGATGAAAGGGATGTTCTCCTGATCGGAACTGCGTCCCATGTTCTTGCCTATCACATCGAGGATAACTCTGATATTTTCTACAAGGAGGTACTTCGTTTCTAATCACAGTCGTTGTAGTCGTTTAACGAAGATCCACATCAAGTTTTTAACTTCTCTTAACTAGATGTCCGATGGTGCAAGGTGTATAATTATCGGCAAATTGGGGTGGCTTCCGAATCAAGTTGCGATCGTTGGCGGTAACTGTTCAGTGACCATTTTGGACGCACAAGGTACAGAAATATTTTGGACAGTGGCCGAAGGTATCGTCAGCTCTCTGGCTATCTTCGATTTCGACGGAGACAACGAAAACGAGGTAGAGGTCTTGTTCCATGTTTCATTAAACGCAACATTTCATGACTGCAGACAGTTGCCGTTCGATGTTTCAGCTGATCACTGGCACACAGGACTTTGAGATAAAGGTGTACAAAGAAGAGAACGTGCTCTGGGAAGCCAAGGAAACAGCGCCTATCACTACCCTAACTGGTCTCCCAAACAGAAGATTCGTTTATTCGGTTGGGAATGGGACTCTGGGCGTTTATGAAATGGCTCAGAGACTGTGGCGCGTTAAGGTCCGTTCGAACAGGGAAATTACTTCGCGTGAAATTGTCTTTGGAATCGGGATAAACGTTCGATCACACGAATCTTTTCTAGTCTAAGCACAGAGTGGTAGTCACACGGAGCTTCGACGTGAACGGGGATGGTACTCCGGAGGTCATAACTGGTTGGAATAATGGAAAGGTGGACGCTAGGTCGTCCAATAGTGGGGAAGTGTTTTTTAAAGTTCAATTATCCACCGGGATAGCTGGAATCGTGGAGGCCGATTACAGGAGAATCGGGAAACCTGACTTAGTCGTGGTGTCCACTAGCGGCGACGGTATGCAGAGTGTTTCTAATCTATTCGATTCTATACCAGAAAATTAGACGAGAATGTAGAAAAACACGTTTCGATTTGGTTTTATGTTTTCGTAAGTTTTATACTTCCGACACTGTTTGCACTTGTGTGTATCGAACACTAACGATTAGAACCACCTTTTTTCATCATTTGATAAACAAATAATATTCTACCGTTGTTTATGTATCTGTATAGTAACACCGGTGAAACTAATCATTAATAACCGAACAGACGATCAATTTACACGATCGATTTTATTGAAATTTTTATCCACACCTTCGACCTGTTTCTTTGTGTAGAATCAGCCCCTTCAAGGCTGTACAACACGAGGACCTTGTAGAACGCGAATAGTTCAGCCTAAATGATACTGATTACTGACTAAAGTTTCTCGTCTTTCAGTTCGTGGTTATGGTTCCGGATCCACGATGGACACGCCGGAACCCGGTGAAGCTATGCGTGATTTACTGGCCAAAAAGCAAGTTCTGCAAATGGAGCTTAGGCAAAGAGCTGCATCCGTCCCTAATATGTATCACAGAACTAAACTGGCAGTCAGTATTATGACGACGAAGGGCGCAGCTATTGTCGGCCTTGCATCGGGACCAGGACTGTTGGTAATAAACTATAAAATACCAGTAAAACAAAACAGTTTAGAATTCATTTTTTTATGTTACACTGTCATATAACAAATGTTGTTTGACGGGCCGAGAAATTTCAATGATTAAAACTAAACTAAAGGTAAACCTTTAAAGGTTTTTAAGGTTTAACCTTCAACTAAAGGTAAACCAAAATCACGTTTCCCAATCAGTTTACAGTCAGAAAATATGATTACAATGGTGGATTTTCAGATTCATTGCGCAATAGTCTTCACCGAGGGGGTCTTCGATGGTGAAACTCTAGTCGTTCATCCTAGTAAACCAAGGGGAGAGCTGGAGATAGAGATAAAACCCTCGAAAAACGCCCCAGTGGACATACACGTGAAGGTGTGCGTTGGTCCCGCTGGCGCGGATTTGCTACAGGTAATAAATAATAACTCTGACATCAGAGAAGAGTATTATTTTAATTATTTCCGATTTTTGTATTCCACTCAGGTGTTCGAGATGACGCGACAATTGCCCAGGTTTTGTATGTACGAGATGATCGGGAAACCGGACGAAGTCGAGGAGGATCTCACGAAAAACTTCGTCACTGCTGAGGTAACTTTGTTAATTTACCTTGCAAACAATTTGAGTTTCTGAAAAAGGTTAATTTCAACTGTAAGAACTCTGTACAGAAGTGATGTTTGAACGAAATAGAATCTTAAAACAATTCAACAAGAAGTAAAATTGTGAACCTCGATGACAGTAACATCTGTTTAGTTTGCAGACAGGCCACAAAGGATTGCCCTCTGGCTGAACCAGAGTCTAATCCTCCCGGAGGAGTTAGAGATCAAGGAGGATGGACAGAACAGCGGTGGCATTCAAGTGTGGCTTCGTGGGATGAGAGATAATAAAATTCATTGTTTCAAGGCGGACACAACGGGTAGAGTGACTATACAAACCGAGGACTCTACATTCGCTGGGGACATTATTCAATCTTTGGCCTTGTACTTGGGTCTGAGGGAGCTGTCCTCGGAAGTCTCGTTTCCGGAAGACGAAAAGATGCTGTTAGACGCATTGGAACGTGTCAGAGGTAACTTCTAGAGCTATGCAATTCTATATTTCAGGATATGTAGCTGTAATGATGACCTTGAGGATAACCGGATATCGTCATTGCGACTACACCATTATATTCTTCGATAAATCTTACCAACCAGAATGGCGTATTTTGTTGTAGATTTGAAAGAAATCGACGCGAGACTGCAGGCAGAGGCAGCCAGCGATACAACTCTATTGAAAAACATTATAATCCGTTTGGAGGATGCCAGAATTCTCGAGAACGTCGAAGAAATGAGGAAGAGGTTGGTGCAACTGAAGAACATCAACGTGGACTTGATCAGGGAACACGAGATTCGGATGAAGAGCTACCGAGAACTTTCGGCGAATTTGAAGGAGCTGAATCTTGGAGTGCAGCGAGCGGCCAGATTGAGAGGTAAGCACGCAATTTTCTTTTTTTTTTTGTGTGAATCGAAGGATAATTCGAATCTTCTTTCAGTTGGCAAAAATGCCTCCAATATGGTGGCTCGTTGCAGAGCGGCTATCCAGGACAATAATCCGAAAGCGCTAACCTTGGCAATAAGACATGGTTAAACGTTAATACGATCACTTTTTTTTATTGTTGCAGAAAATGAGTATTAATGTATATCTGACCAATAAATATTATTTTATACAAACTTCATACTTAATTACTTTCGTCCAAAACGTATTTTAATAATACTTTCTGTAACGTACTTTAATAATATTAACTACTAAAGTACGTACATATATTATGTTGCATACATACATATGTATTAATAATTTGTTTCCCCCCTTTGCTTGTATTACAGCATGCACCCTTTTGCCTTGTTTTATCGTATCTATTATTTTGGGATAATTTTACCAAATATCCAGAATAATTAACAGGGACTCTAATGAGTACAAAAAAACAGACGAATGATTAACCAGAGGAAAAATTACTGTCTTTTCTATTTCCTTTAAGTACATATTCTAAAAAATAGATTAAGTACTGTTAAATACTGCAAGGTACAACTCATAGTTTTCCAGGGCCCAGACGTGCGAGTACGGTTTTCACGCTCAAGCTGTGCAATAGCTTCAGCTTGTTCAGCTATAAATATTCGTACCAGGAAAACATTGTATAACACAGTTTTGTAACTTCATCAAGCAGTACGAAATCTACATAAATCTCTATTAAATACGTCTACAAGTATAAACGTTACGAAAGTTGTTTACACCCCCGAAAATATCGTTTTCAACGATTACTTTCCAACATTACAAATAAATAAAAATGCATTCACGTCTGGTCCCTATTCGATGCAATAAATAATGCTATTCACAGAAATCAGTGCATCGTTCCACGCACGGAGATACTGAATCTTCGTTTCAGTGGGACGGGCGAGGGACGTCGTAGAGCGTTCAAAGTGCTATCGGTGGACGCCCTAACCCTGAATGAATTCGCCTGGTATCCAGAACTGCCCGGCAATTCCGTCAACAGTTTGAAGACGTCGGTGAAAACGGCCATGACCTGTCGAATAAAAATAATCGGACCAGTTACTGCTGTCGTTACGTAACCCCCCCGGGATTATCTATTTAACCATTATGACGAGAATATTCTTTCGCCGGCAGCTACGTTAAAACCGCTCGGATTATCACTCTTGCCGTTTTTTTTCACTTGTACCCCTAACTTATTCGCGGCACGTGTATTGTCGTGTCGTTTACGTATCTCTGTACTCGAGTCCCCAGTTCCAATTCACCCCTTTCGAACGAAAAAACTTCATTTTCAAACTCTTCTTTGGTGAGAACCCTGGACACGATCTGGAATGTACGATTTCAGGTTTTCAAAAGAATCTATAATTTCTTGCCCCGCTCGGTTCATTATCTCTCTGGATGGTCCGTGGTTCTAAATATATTCAGTGAAAACGGTACAGAGCAAAGTAAACCCTTAGCGAATCGAGTATTAAAGGGTTTGACGTGTAGAAAGAGGCAGTCCTAAGGGCGGTTCTTTTCCCTGAAAACCGTCGACAACAGCCGAAACCATCGGCTGAAACTCGATCACAGCGGGGGGACGGGTGGGGGGGAGGAGAAACGGGTAATTAATTGTGAAACAAATTTTTAATTGCGGCACATTTACGATCCCGATAAGCCCGTTACACGATGGATCGTACCGATCGGCTGGCTCGATATCGCGCGACCACTCGCCGCGATACAGATTTTGTTTACGACTTCGTGATCACGCGTAAACGCCATGACTGGTTTCCATTCGTTGGAGTAAACAAACGTATAGAAAAATAACGAGACAAGCGATTAAAGCCGAACGGGACGCGACCGATCGTTCCCGGATGATTCGCTAGGACTTCTCCTCCCCCTACTTCCGTGATCGTGGAAACGATGAATCGGGCAGGGATGAACATAAAATCGGGGTATCGGTGACGCGGAGATACGTCAGCCACCAATACCTCGAGTATTTCAGGCCCAGTGACGTTGTGCTACGTCGACGATCGACATTTCGGATACACTGTGGAGACGTAGCACCGCGTCATCCTGTGTAGAAGGGACTCAAACGTTTTCTAATCTTTTGTTCGTTCGTTCGGGGTAATGAAAGAGGATGGCTACTGCTGTCGATTGAACACCATTGATGAAGTATAGTAGACCCCCCCTATTAGAGGGAGAATACACTATCGGTCAAAAGCAGGGCTAGAAATGGTTTTGAAAATAATTGTTTCAAACTGTTATACAGGGTGCCTCAGCTAACTTGATCATCTCGAATAATGATTTTACTGTACACTTTATGAAAATTTTGAGGTCTGGAATTTAAATGGCTTCTAGGGGCAAGTCTTATAAGGTACATGCTTCAAGGTCACCATGATTTTTTTCAATGGAATGATCTATTTTTTGTATCATAGAGTAGGTGTATTCTGGGTAACAATGTGTTGACCTTCATACGTCCTAACACTAAAACTAGTGACGGTAAACGTATATCTATTTTCATCTGAACGATAAACATGACAAACTGATGGAAACGTACAAATTTATAAATTAAGTTTTTTCTGCACTTGCATGTTGCTATAGAAGTGGTAAAAGATGATTGAATTAGTATCTGTATAATGAGTTGAGAAACAGTGGAAACAGTTACCTGTTCAACCGATTCCCTGACGGAGATCTCGTGGAACGAGTGAGCCTCGATCTCTTCCGCCCTTTGACGTCCTTCTGAGGTGGAGACCACCCTTTCGCCAGGTGTATACGACAGATCCGATTTGTTCGCAATTAAGATCACGACTGGCGGTACCTTTCTAGTTTTTCTTGCGTGTGATACTAAAAATCTAGTACAAGCACACAGTTACTATCGAAACTTACGACCCGGTTCATTTAATCTTTTTGGTACAGTCGTTGACCTTAGCCAATTAAACGTTCTAATAAGGATGTGAACCCTTAAAGAAATAATCATATTTATTGTTTTAAAGAGTTCTTCAACTATAAACGACACAAAGTTAATTGGTCGATCAAGGTCTCTGACGGTCGCACCCCGACATATTTATAAAAGTTTCAGCGTTTATCGTAGAAAGGGATGTGACCCTGAACGGTTATTTTATTTTGTCCCGTCAATAGTCAAAACTGCCGTACCAGAAGATAGTACATACTCGTTATCACATCAATATTTCGTGGAGAGTGGAACGTAACCTTAAATGGTCAAATTATTTTGTCTGGTCTAAAACAAGGAATCCAATAGAGAGTTAAGTTTTGATCGAACGCAGCTGGTGCCAAGTAACGTTAATCATTACACACTACACTCCAAATAATAGAACTAAGAAAATTGGTATAGTATAATTTGACCAAATTATTCCAAAATTAGATTTCATTACGTCTATTTCTTCGTTTCTTTGTTATGAGCGAAATACCAAAATAAGATTTTCTTTCATCTATTATTTTAAATATGAAATGAAAACTTGACCTGTCTATTAAAGTTGTTGCTTCGGATCAGACAAAATCGAGGGATGATCCTCACCGAAGTCGAGACGTTTCATCGAAGCTGACACGATCCGACACGGAGTAAACAAGAATAATAGCATCCGCCCACCGCAGCTTCAGCTCGGTCGGGGGTGGTAGGAATCCCGGTGGATCGGTTAACTCCCACGATGCGTCCAAATAGCTGTCAACCTTGTAAATTCTCTCGGTGGTGCAATCGTACTCGCCGATGAATCGTTTCGTCGCGAATCTCACTGCCAGTGCTGAGCATGCAATTGATTAAAAATGATTATTTTGAGTCACAGCGCTACACGTGTGTATTCAAAGCAGAGAATCTTTTCACTTTTTACGCTTTTATTAACACTAGAACTACCAAATTCGTCAAAATGACGGATTACAGATTTACTATTTTACCATTACTCAAATTATTGACTCAATTATACAGACTTTATTTCATGGTATATTATGCTAAATTGTCTTGTATATTCCCTATATTATTGTATTATACATTTTAATTTAGTATACATTCAATGCTGGTAGTTCTAGTGTTAAAAGATTTTTTATTGTTTACCAGTTTTACCGACGCCCTGATGGCCCAGCAGAATGACACGAATAAGTTTCGGCTCTTTGCTGGTCAGACCGAGATTCCATGCGATCGGTGGACTGATCCGTTTCTTCAGCGAAGCCGCCGGCGGACTGAACCTCTCCATGACTTCGTAGTCACTGATTTCCAGCCGGGGTGGCTCATCGATTATGAACCCTCTCCTGCACCCGGTGATATTTAATAGACGCCCATTATTATACATACATCGTTCGAGTCTCCCTTTTCCTCGCCGTTACACACCGTGTTTCATAAACAGATCGATCGATGACGTTTGTCCTTTTCACAACGGGGTAAATAATAGGCAGGGTACTTTTAGACACGCAACAGGCTACACACGCGTACTCTGCAGCCGGCTTTATTAACTCATTCACTTCCAAGCTGTGAAATAAGAGGATTTTTACACATGTAATTATTTACTACTAATTTACTTATTTATTTATTTATTTAGAGATTAATTCCCATTAGAATACAAGAAAAAAAATATAAAGATGTTTATATAAAATATAAATCGAACTAATATTAAAACCGTAGTCTATTTATGAAAGTATAGTACAATAGCTATCAGAAAACTTTTTGGATCGGTACTTTTTGCGCAACCAAATGTGTCTATATAACTTTGGGCAAAATCTTATCGAAATACAAATATCAAATAACTTATATATTATTTTGTCGAAATATAAAGAATGCATTATAATACTAGACATCATATTATAAAAGCCCACTACACGAGAAAGATGGACCAAAAAATTTCAATGATACAGAAAAAGATCGGTTCACCATAGTGCTATAAATACTTCAATTTCTTCAAATTTCAAACCGTATCTCTTTGAAACATCTATCGTCCCTCCGTATTCGTCCCTACGATCATCGATTAACCTTCCCCGATTACCCCTGTGCGTCGACATCGCGTACCGATTCCTGTCCCCGTTTAGACCAGTTCGCCGTTCCCCAAGTGGCGCCAGGGAGTTGTGAACCGCCAAAGGTCGTTACACATCCTAATCAAGATGCCTCGGTATCAGCGGTGGTTCGTTGGGTCAGACTTTTAATGGCCCGTTTCGCAATTCGCGGGCCATTCTCCTGGATGGAATAAAACCGGGATCTCCTAACACCGGGCCAGTAGCCATGCACCCGTTGCTTCCTGATACGGTGACCCGTAGACGCGTCTCGGGTGCGCGGGAAAACGGCACGCGTCGTCGTCGTCTCCCGATGTGTTATTACGTTTATGTAAGAGTCGAGACGCGAGCGGTTGTTTTATCGGGCGCGGTTACGCGCCCCGGGGTATTGTGAGTAGAGATGGCGTAAACTACTACTTGTAAGTCACGAGTGATTCGATCACATTCGTTCCCAATCGGGGTGATTTTTCACAGTGATTTGTGATTTTCCATGATCGTCTACTGATTGGTGTAGAATGTAACAACAATTCTATGCACGCGTCATATAACCTGTATATTTTATATCAATTAGATAAAAAGAAAAATGCTAAATAGCTACATCGTATAAATAAAAGAATAATGAATAAATTAATGATTATGAGTTTTAATCAACAATATATTTTGTGTAATTATAGCAAATCATTCTTTTATCGTTTCGTCTACTGATTTTTACAAAACGTAAATATTAATGTAATTAATTTTCAAATTATATTGAATATGTGTTTCTGTACAGGTGAAGAAAAAAAACCACGATCACGGACGTAAATGAAATTAAATCACAATCATGGTCATGATGCTGCGATCACTGTGATGAATCATTGTTAGTGATTTTGCACACCATCTTTAATTGTGAGCGTATTGGACCAGGTCTGATAGTTAAAGAAAAAGAAAATTATTATTCTACAAAAATGCGGTAACAGTAATGTGCTTAATCTGCTCCTATATAGGGGATGATTTTGAAGAGGAAAAAGCCTACTATGTATATGCCCTAAAAGTTTCATTAAAAACGGCGACACTAATATAAAGTCAACCTAATTAAAGTTGGGGCTCTCTTCTTCTCAGGAAAACTGGTGAGCGATTAACGTATTTGGCTCAAAAATTGCTACCTAAATACGTTTTGACGGACAGAATTAATAAGAAAGGTATAATAACGAGAATTACAGTAAATCCTCGATGAGTGTTCGAAGGCTATAAATATATTTCATAAACTAATTGTCGTATTCAGTTGAAAGAAATATCATTGTTTTCTGAATTCCAAGCTCTACCACTGTGCTAAATCTCATTAAAAACTCAGTGTTATATCTAGAGTACTCTCCTTGCCAGTGTCGAAAAGCCTTCGAACAATAATCGAGGATTTACTGTATACCCAAACCACATGTTTTCGAGGAATTGAAGGTATCATGGTAAACATTGTTTCCTAGAAATATACATGTTGACCAAATTATTGTTAAACCGTCACGAAACGTATAATTCGTTGATTTAACTAACGTTAAAATCTGAATACAGCGATACACACAGTTTACCTAAACGATACAAGTCCTATAAATCAGTTTGAAGATAAATATTAATCTGTCTATTCTTGGTCTTCATCCAGTCGTTAATGCGATCAATAAATGAGAAATCAATCTTCTTTAAGAGTTTCTTGAGAATGTTACCAAGAGAATCAACAATATTGAAGACGCGTCGTAATGAAAACGTTTCACAGATAATTCCATCAGTCTCCTAACACCGTACACGATATCGCCCCGAAGAATGTGCCGCATTCTCTTCTCGCGGATCCTCCTATCTTTGCATTTCGAATTGAAATGTGTCGGATAAATATAACCCGTTCGTGGTAGTTTTATTTACTCCTCGAAGGGGGGTGGGGGAGGAAAAAAAAAAAGAATGTTAAAGGAAGACGCGAAGCGCTTTGTGCGCAGCCATCGTCGAAGAGAACTATACATATCGAACTATATCTGGAAGAGAGGGATGCTTGTGTTTCGCGAACGGAAAAACTGTTGCACGCAAGAAAGGGATGATACGATCCTATACAGTATTCACGAGCTTGTCAATTAATCCCACCCATACTTCCCTATATTTACATCGGAAAACTTACCAATAGACAACATTGACCTTCGGCAGTCCCATTGGAATTTTGCAAACAGCACACGTAGTCCACTAACTCGCGCACATTTTTTTCCTACTTTTATCGTACGGGATATATCTTTATTCCTTTGGCAACGACCCTTATCGATACGCGAAACGTGCACACATATACAGTAGGCGATAACAGACAAACCGAGGTGACGTCAGCTGATCCATTTCTATCGACGGTTCCCAGTGAACTGGACAAACGTTGAATCGCGGAACACGATTTTCGGGGATCGCGAAACGCATGAATACCAGAGACACCGTGATCGTATTCGTCATACCGTCGTTCGCGATTTCCAGGAATCCATGAGCCATTTCGCCGGAGATCCGCGGTGGTTTCCTGGTGTATCCAGCTGGGCCATTGATAATCTATATATAGACGCCATGAAGTCGGCCGTGTAGGAGGAAAGCGTGCCGGTCCCCGGGTGACCTCATGCGTGTACCACATGGGGTTATCGGCGTGTAAACTCGCGCCCTTATCGGTTATCATTGCCCCGGCCGCGGCGTGGCAGCCGAAAAAACGTGTCCGACGGGTTAAAAATCGTGGAGAACGCCTCTTCTAAAGGGACCGACCTTGCCCCTCCGCCCCATAAACACGAGTTTCTTTCCTCTTTCAACCGGATAAGATAAAAAAGAATTTTCTATAATAGATCGATCCACAGCGGAGCATTGAAAAATAAAGAAAAAAAAAGAAAGTACCGAGGCTCGGTGTAAACATAATGACAGATTCGTTACGTTTTGTTTTCGATCGGATCTGTGCACGAGGCCGGCTGCTGATAGTGACAGCAACGTGCCCTGTCGGATAGTGGGTCGGATCGAAGACTTTGGTGACATTTTGCCAAAATATCGACTTTCTCGTATCGATATCTACTGGAGTTTCTGGTGCTTCCTAAATGACTGTCAACCTTGAGAATGGAGAAATTAATGAAATATAATGAATATTGTAAGTGGTAGTTGAATATTTTGTGCAGGATTTTTTATTGGAGAGAACTGATTCTTTTTATGGAGATGTCCTGATGACTGATATTTTCACTCCATTCTATTTTTGAAACGAAGAGCATTGTTTTGTGTTAAGGGTTAACATCGTCCACTAATAATTAATGTTCATAATGTATTCAACAAAATAATGCTCAGTCGTATAAAGGAAATTGTTAAAATTCTTTATCTTTGACAAGGAATATCTTTTAAGTTCCAAGGAGTACCATATCATAATAAATTGGAATATTTTCAGCACACCTTCCTCTACATAATCATGTAAGAATCATTCCCCCCCTTAACTCACTGTTGAAATTATTACTGTTTACAGCTGTCTGCGTCGTGTCGTTTGACGTATGGCGTCCACTGCTGAAACTCTGCGTGGATGTGAGAAGTTCATCGGTTATACTATACCAAAAAATTATTTGTTACTAGTAAAATATATTATTACATATAAATATACATAAATATATTGTTGTTGTTCTAATTTTCTCTATTCAATCTACCTGTAACCCAATATCCCTATATTGTTCAGCTCAAGTTTCATATCAATATCTATTTATTAATAAAATATATTGTTATTGTTATACTTTTTTATTTTTGTGCAATCTACCTGTAACCTCACATCCTTGCATTAATCAGTCCAAGTTTCATACCAATATCTTCCAGGATTCAAAAGTCGTACAAAAATGACACTGAATTTCTCGATCCGATTCAGTTAGGCGCCGGAACCATGAATTCTGTATCCCCGACGAAAGGGATACCTTGAAGATCGTATCCCCGTTTGTTTGTCGTTATTGGGAGCCCGTCTACGAGACGCTCGTAAATTGAATAAGTCGATTGTGTAACGGGGGAGGGGGGCGTCCGAGTGTTATAGATCGATGTGGAATAGTCCCATTCCAGCCATAATTTTCATCGTCGGTAGCGGTTCTTGGACCTCTCTCCGATATGAAGAATAAAGAACTCACACCAATGATTTCGTGTAGTTATCTTTATGGAACTCGAGGCGATCTTGGTTCTGTGTATACGATTTTGAAAATTATGCAAGCTGCATTCTGTACGACACCGAGTATCGTCGA